GATCCCGTGCAGCACGTGAGCTCTGTCCTGCAGCCCACTAAGCCGCAGCAGCCTCCGAGAGCAGGTGGTCGGCCGTCACCAGGCCCCTGCGAGGTGCACGTGCAAGTTCAGCCCCGGGCACGGAGCAGGGACGCAGGGCTCCGGGCGTCTGCAGAAGGGGAGCCCAGGGAAATGCAGCGGAGACACGGTGGGTGATCCACGGCGTAACCTTACTTCGGGCAATTTTAGCACGATGTTCGGAACCGAGGCTTCCTGGCTGTCATCCGCTACCCTGGGAGCGGGGGTGGGGGTACACGGCTTGGGAGGAAGTCAGAGTGGGGCTGGTGGCAAAGGTAGGGGGCAGTAAGACCAGCCCGTGAAGGCTCCTCTAGGTCCCGAGGGGCTCCTCTCTATGATCTTGGGAAGAGAGTTCCTGTGCGGACGCCATCTTGACGTGCGTGCGCCTCAGTGCGTCGTCGTGGAGCCGGTTCGTGGACGGCTCTCGGCTTCCTGAAGAGCCCGCTCTGACCGACCCCAGCCCGGGCTGCAGCCCCCGTGCTCTTCAGGGGGGGCAGTGGGGACGTGACCTGGCCGCACGCCACACCATGGGTGAGTGGGTCAGCCCAGGAATCGGGGAACGGAGGGGGGAGGGGCACTCTGGCACGCGACTCCCCTCGCATCCTTGAGACCCCCAAATCCTGTCCGAGTGGGGTGGGCAGGTGACTTGTCAGTAGCATCAAGATCGAGGCTGATGGGCACTGCATGGCAAACCTCTCTGTGAATCATCCTGGCTCAGGTGACGTCATCCTGGTTGAGGAGAAAGGCCTGAGTCACGTGATTTCCGGCTTGGGCAGTGAGGAAGGTACCCATAGTTTTCCATGTGGGGAATTTACCGTCTTGGGATTTGTATTACACGTTTGGGAATGGGCTAGCAACCCACCTTGCCCTTGAATTCCCTACCCCAGCCATTCAAGGTAGATTATAATCCCTCAAGAGATTTGTCTGAGAGATAGTTGAGACTTTCCACTCCTGTCAACAGATTCAGACTCAGAAACTCACAGGGGGCACCTCTGCCATGTCCTATAGTGAGATGTGATTGACTGCATGGCAGTGAGTTCGGTTTTATAGGGGTGTTACAGGCTTGTTTGCAGTGCCTGGGGGTATGATGAATCACCAACTGGGATGCTCACTACAAGTTCCCCAGTTCCAAACCATCAGCCTCTTCTGGGGGAGAAAGGTGCGGTTTTCTACTCCCATACTGAGTTACCGTCCAGGAAACCCACGGGGGCAGTTCGCCTGTGCTCTGTCCGGTCCCTATGAATCACAATGGACTCAGTGACAGTGAGAGGCTTGTTTAATGGCACAGCATATGACCTGTGACATAATATCCCATGTGTGGTTTTTAATGAGTCACACTGATTAAACCTTCACCATCTAACAGATTCGGCTCTGTTAGTTTTACCTGTCATTCATTGAAAAAGTCCCCCGTGGTTGCAGACATGCTAATCCCTACATTTTCCACTGTGTTTGTTGAGTATACTCCGTTTTCTATGCTGTGATGAACAGAAACTCGGAGTTCTTTGGTCATTATTTTATTCAGGCAGAAAATGAAAACTTTGATCTAATAGAAGTTCCCTCTTTTCTTAAGCAATGAATTGTCTCAAGGTAACTTTCTTTGACTTTTTAGAATTGGGTTTTAACAATTTGATGTCTTGAGTTGCTTTTGGAAATTCCTCTGCCATGGTCTCCTTAAGTACCCCTTTATTCCTGCTGTTTATTTCTAGACTCTTACTGACTTTGTGTGATATGCATTCACTATATCCCCCCCTCCTTGCATATTCTCCATCATTTCTTCTCTCCAGGCTTCATTTTGTCTGTTTTCTTTAGATCTATTTTCATTCCTTAAAAGTCTTCATTCAAAACATGCAAATTGCCCATCAACCTTGCACTGTAGCACTAAACATTCAGGGAACATCTTCGTACTCCTTCAGAAGAAAAGAGGGAGTTCAGGGTAAGAGATGTTATGCAAATTTTCCGAGGCTACCCAAACTGGGATCAGATGAGGAGAAAGGACCATCGCATCATGGACCCTCTGCTCACACCTTTTCCTCTGTGCTTGCTCCCCCTTGGGCTACAAACACTGCTCCCCTCTCAGATCCCCTAAAGTGGAACCACAGAGGAAGGTTTCTATCTTTGTAGTACGGGGGTATATTTATGTTTACATTATAAAAATCAGCGACGTTTACTTACCATCCTTGTTCAAACGCCCACCCCTGGGCTTCTGGCATGACTGTGATTGATATGTTCTTTACACTTTCAGGGGACAAACACAAAGTTGATGATTATCTACGATCAGCAAGATCCAGGTGTATTCGGAGAAGGAGAGATCCCATCTGCTCTCAACAAGCCAGTCCTGGCGTTGATCAGTTACCCCGCCAGGGGCAAGGTGGCCACGTGGCAAGGAGGCATGGCAGGGTCAGGTCTGGAGTACGATAGTAAGTGACCATGGTAGCAAGCATGTCCCAGTGGAATATGTGACACTAGATTTCACATTCTCTTTCCTCTTCTACCCTACATCCTGTGGATGAAGAATGCTAGGACAAGATTAATGGTTGAGCAAACATGATGATAACCTTCTGTCTCTTTATCACCATAGCACCCCTTATCGCATCCCATCTTACAAGCAGGGAGACACGTATCAAACAGGAGAGCTAACTCGGGGTAATATGGAGAGAGAGAAAAAAGATCCGGAGGCAGGAATGGAGGGGAACTGGCAGGATGGCAGCACCCGGAGCTCCTCCAACATCACAGTGAGTGCCCTGGCAAAATGAACATTATGTGCAGGGGAGACAGGGTGGGTGGAATTGTGCTGATCCCATATGGGGACAGGGGGTACACTGCTGGGGCATGGGGCACCTGTAAAATCTGCTTTTTCTTACAAGATGTTTTCATCCTTGATGCATCTAAAGTCATGTTGGGAGAAGTAAGGAAAAGGGACCGGGCAGGAGGCAGGGAGAAAGACGACGACTGTCTACAAAGGTGTAAAGTGCTCACAAGGAGATGGGGGAACTCCCCCTGCTTGGCTGTAGTTTAGTTCAAACTGAAGGGTCGGAGGAGGAGACGGGCCGTGGGCAGAGTGTGTGGAGGCTTTGTCAGAGAGGAGGCGGGGACTGCATGAAGAAAGCTCTCCCAGAAGCTTAGGAAAGGAAGCACATTTTATGAAAATTGAAGATGATTATTTGCAAGAAAACGTGGAAATATACAGAAACAGTAATTATGATGCCCTCTTCTCACACAGAGCTTAGAAATATTGGACAATGGTCTAAGAGTAGAAACACTTTTAAAGTTCTGTGTAAGGAACACATGCTTGGGTCTCTATTCACGCAGTATTTCCATCATGATGGTGGCCTCTTCCATCCTTGCTGATGCTCCAGGACTCCATTTGGCATGATGGGTGACTAGTTTGGCTGCTGAATTTGTCCCAGGGTCAAACCAATGTCCCCTTGACTCTGGCATAGGGAGACAAGCAAGTGGGTATAGGACGAGTGGAGGGTCCAAGCTGAGCAAGGATTCTGGTCTCCTGTAGCTCTCCCTAAATGTCACTGTGAGAAAGGGCAGGTCGAATTCTTGCAGGGGAGTGCCAACATTGAGCTTGCATTGAAGAACATCAGCAGCAAGATTTGGGATGAGGATAGTACATGTCAGGACCTAGGCAAGGCTAGTTGGTAGGAGTTGGGCAGGCTAAGATGGGAGTGTCTTCCTTGATGTTGGGGTTTAAAGGTCTTGGTATTTTCCCACCACGACTCTTGCCTTCGTTGCCGAGCCCTCCCTTTCACATCGCCTCTGCGGTGCCCCAGGCTGTGCAGAAGGAGCTGGAGTCAGAAAACACAAAAATGTTTGAAAGAATGTCAACTCCAGGGGTGTGTGGCCACGCTCAGAACCACCAGCACTTCTTCCATCACATATCCCCCTCCTACCACCTGAGGCCCAAGCCACTAGTCCCCATCTCTGTCTCTGCAGGTGACCAAGATAAAAGGAGTTGAGGGCTTCCAGGGAGCTCATGACCTTCCTCAGGAGGTCCACTCAGATTCAGGTATTCAAGATAGGAGTCATTCTAGGGCAGTTGGGTGCAGAGTGGTCTTTGTGGGAGGGGTGGTTAGAGGGTAATTTAGGGAAGGGTTGGTGCTGAGGCCGGTTCAGCTGCGCCCTTTCATCCACCTGACCCCTTGTCTCCTATTCTAGAAGGAGTGATGCACCATGCTACTGAAATGGGACTGAGTGTTAGAAAGGACACGGCTTCCTCCCTTCAGATCCAGGAGGAGAACATGTCCAAAGTGAGGCCTACAGTTTTGATCCTGCTGAGGGTGGTGGTGAGGATGGGGCAGCTGGTGTGGATGGCAGATTTTCCCCAGATGTCATTTCTTGGAGCCTTTTCTCTCCGCAGATTTTATCTTTCAACTTTAGCAATACTAGCCCCTACCAGCTGGTTGGTCTGCCCAATGTAAGGCAGAAGGATCCCACCATCCAGAGCAGGGACTTCTTAGAAAATCAGGTGAGAAGCAGTCACCAGAGCACACTTGGAAAGAAGGAGGCAGGGCTCATTAGGGTGGTGACAAAAGACAGGTGGTAAGGCCTTTTATGGGAAAAGGTGGAATTGGGGGGAAGGACCCTCCTGGTTCTCACTCCCTGGTTCATGTTTTCTTCTTTCATTGCAGATGAAGGCTGAAGGGGAGATGGACACAATGAAGGGACTGGATCCAGGGGAGATGAGTGTGGGCAGAAAGCCCCTGTGCACCAGCTCTCCGGAGAAGCCCAGCAACATGAGGTCAGTTATGCCTGGTGAAACCCTGGGGAAGACAGGGGCATGGAGCTGGCATTCTGTAGGTCTCTGTCTGGGTGAGTCCATGGTGGAGTGCCCAGGGTCCCTGCAGGATATTGACATCGAAAGGTCACACACCCACGAGTGGGACACACCCATCAGTGATCCTGTGCAGCTGTCCTTGTTTCAGCCAAGTGGACAAGCTCTGATTTTCTCTCTTGCCTTAACATTTAACAGTGACCTCCTGGACCTGTTCTCCAAATTTTTATGCCTGGTGAGTGTATTTCTTTTTCCGTGATTCCTCTGCCTGCCACATAATGCCACCCACAACCTGCCCTGAATCCCTTAGACCCTGCCCAGGCTAGATGTTTGGATCTGGCCCCTAAGCTCCCTGGGAAGGAAGCCCCCGTGGGGAAGCTGATCAAGCCTGAGGACTTTCTCTGCCCTTCTCCACTAGCAGCTCAACTCTCTGGTGAAGACTCCTTGATAAACATGCCCATGGAATTTCTAGGGCCCTTTACCATTTGGCTTTTCCCAGGACTTCTGACCTCTACTAATTTCCGGTGCCCAGCCTTTTTCCTCATCACGTGCCCCAACCCCAGTCAGCACTGCTGACATCTACTTCCCTTCCCCAGGATGATCAGGAGTTGCCCTCACCTGTTTTCTCTGACATTGGGGACGACAAGAAGTTACCAGTCTGCGAGGTGAGGCGGCAAGACCAAGCAGGGCTTGAAGGGGTGGGGGAGGAGGGCATGGAAGCTAGGGTCCTGAAGTCCATGTTCATTCCAGGGGAGTGTCTTTGAATCAGAGGCCCTGAAGGATCTAGTCTGGGAGTTCCTGAAGCAGTAAGAACCCCTTTGTGCCCTGAGGCAGCACACACATTGAAATGGGCCCGTATGCCCATGCACAGGCCTGATTATGGTGGGGGCAGTGGGGTCTTTAAGTCTCTAAGGAGCCTTTGCTTCCCTTAGGTATTACAGTATCTACGATGATGGGGACCGACAGAGTCTCCTGAGTGCTTACCATGACAAAGCTTGCTTCTCACTGACCACTCTCTTCAACCCTGGAGCTCAGCCCATGTGAGTATCACAGACCAGACGACAGCACTGCCCCTGTGACTCCCAGCAGACACTGGCCAGTCCTCCACCTCTTGTTCCTACTTTCTTCCTAGAGTCAGATTGGCCAACTACTCCACGGAGAACAGGATTTTGAAGGAGCTCAGGGAAATTGGTATGTGTGTCAGAGTGAGGATTGGATGAGGCAGGAGGTGTGAAGGTAAACCATAGGGACCCAGTGGATCAGGCAGCCCTTGACCATCTCTTGCCTTTGCCCACAGGCCCGTGTGTTCAGTTGCTAAAACAAACAAAAAAGGAGGTTGTGGACTTCCTCTGTGTGTTGCCCAGGACCGAGCATGACCTCAGCTCCTTCGTGGTGGACACCTGTGTCCAGAGGGTGAGCACTGCTGCTGTGCAGAGCCAGGGACAATGCCAGAGGTGGGTAGGAGAGGAGTGGGTTCCTGGGAGCCTGAGCTGTTTTTGTCTTTCAGAGAACGATGCTCTGCTTCTCTGTCCGTGGGCAGTTCAAGGAGGGTAAGTGTGTGCCAAGGTTCTCCACCTTGCTTCCCACTGTTCCCACGCAGAGGTCTGCAGGCTTCCCTGCTCCCTTCCCTTTCCCTGTATGCTGTCCAGCTCCGCCCTGCCCCCTCCCCTGCTCACTTTTGACTGACCCACAGCCATGACTGCTTGCCTGTCTTACCACAGCCCAGGTGGTAGAGGCGCAGGTCATAGAGTTTGATGGCTCTCATCATGTACCCTCACTATGGTGCCCTGGGGCTCCTATTTAACCTCGTTGTTGACTCATTTCCAAAATGAGGCCAGTGATGTCCCTCTCTTGGGCTTCTGGGAAAATATGGCAAATGCACTTGTGAAGAGCTTGACACAGGCCACGACACAGAACAGCGACTTAGCAGTTGGAAGAGGTTGCACCTTTTGTTGCCCACCCAAATCCTGACCTCCCAGGGACAGCTGTCCCTGTGTGGCATTCTCAGTGTGCCACGAGATATAAACACCATTGCTGAGTGTGTAAAGCATGGGAACCCTGACTGGCTGTGATGTGCTTTGTCCTTGAAGTCGAGGGTATATTTGAACCTCCTGTCTCTGCCTTCAAACGGACCTTCCTGTTGAGGACTGGCAGTGATTCCAGGTTAGTGCTGTGTTTTCGATGCCAGGGGCAACACCATCCCCCACAAGGCACGGGATTCCTCAGGATTTCCCCAGGTTTGCAGAATTCCAAAAGTTAGTTTCCATGAGCACACCGCCTAGTGGTTTAGTGTGTAGGCTGTGGCATGCTGACTTCTCAGCCCGACGCCAGCCTTCACTAGCTTTGTCCCTTTGGAATGTTGCATGACTCCTTTGGAACTCTATGTGCATCTCAGAGTAGGATGCTCAGAACAACCAGCCGGGTGCCTGTTGTGAAGGTAAAGGCAGGTATGCAACTCTCTCTGGGGTGGGGGAAACCTATCCACCCAGTGACGGTGGCAGACAGCTCTCCCAAGGCAGGTTCTATGTGAGGGAAAAGGGTACCAACCAAAGAGTCAGGGAGGCAGGCAGAGTCGTGCCTGGCAGGAAAATGGTTGTCCAGTGTGGCGGGGATTGGTGTTGGGGCTGTGGGGTTGTCCATGTGTCCAGCTGTCTGAGGCCCCTCTTTCTCCAGCGTATACATCCTTAATGACCAAATGACTGTGACGGAAGTGAGATCCAAAGAAGCCCAGAGTGCCCACATCACTCCAGTGCCCGCAGCCTCCTCCAGCTTTGTGCCCACCACATCCCAGGAGCAGCAAGAAGTACAGCAGGCCACCTCTACCGGGTCTGGTATGAGTCTCCCATGCTCTCAGAAGTGAATGTGGGGTGGGTGGGGATGGGAGGAGCTAGAGAACGAGTGAAGGAAATTCAGGTAATGCGTTTTGCTTCTTTCATGTCACACTGGACCTTGTTCCCACTCTGTGCCTATTAAGCCACCTAGCGGTTTACATCAGCTGCTCAGGCCTCTTGAAGACCATGGACTCTGTGCCTTTATGGTCAGACACATGTGTCTAGGAGTTTCCCCATCACATACCGTTTTGTCACAAGAACTGTGCTTGGAGGCAGGTTTAAGATGCACAGCTTGGTAAGCCACCTTGTGTGCTCAGAGTTTCCAGTTCAGTCCTGGTGTGTGTAGCCTGACCTTCCTCCACGCCAGGTACCTCCATGACAACCACTGTGAGGACACCAGGCCTCATCGATTTTTGCTGTGTCCACAGCCAAGTCTTGGAATATAGGCCAAGTGAGCAGAGACGAGACGGCCTGGGGCTGACACTCAGGCGTCCTGGCTCTGAGGATGCCCTGACTCTTCTCTTCTCTCTCTCCAGCCACTGACTGAGGTCTCAGAAGGTGCATGCATGAAGGGGCACGCAGACCTCACAAGGGAAACGCCAAAGGAACCAAGGTTCTGGTCACCTTCATCATCCCTGTGATTCTCCCTCTTCTGTGCCACCCAACTTCTGTAACTTTCAAAAATAAAGAGTGATGTTGTTTGTTATGTTAAATCCCTGCAGTGTCCATTTGAGTCATGCATTATCAGCACTGCCTGGTAGCTTACCTTCTGCAGGGGCTGCTGCTACAATTAAGCATTAGATCCTCTGAAGGAGAGAGGAACTATAATAACAAAGCAGTAGGATGAGCAGGTCAGGGATGGCTTCCTGTGGGAATGACATTGAGCTGATTTTCAAATAGCAAGATGGAAGTTCATAGTATCTGCGTACTGTACACAAAATTCACAGCCATGGCAGTGGTCAAGAGGTGTGCACAAGCGTGGCGTGTGTATGGAAAAGTTTGGCTGGAAGGCAATAGCCATTAGGAAGGCAGTGGTAAGAAAGGAGTTCGGTGTGGTAGCAGGGGCCAGATCACAGGAGGCCTTGTAGGCCATGGTTTGGGCTTCGTGGTTTCTTTCTATGATGGATGTCCTCAGGGAGCTTAAGAAAGAAATGGGTGCTATAGTCTACCTTTCTCCACATCTTTCTGTGAATGCTGGTTGGAGAGAGTCTGAAGGACAGTAGCAGTCGGAAGAAGTCTATGAGGTAAGACAGTACAGTAATCATGCAGGTGAGAGGCCCCTTAGCATAGAAGGTGAGAAGGTTTGTTAGCAAATGCAAGAATCAGCATAGATGTGCACATATCTGACACCTGGCTTCCCTATTGCCATGAGGCAGGAGTCAGGCATAGACTCCATCCTTTGTTACCGATTCTGACACCAACTCTTGCCCCCACACAGCACTATGCTGGGTTTGATAATTCTTTGCAATGGTCACACAGAACTCACAGACATTACTCAAAACTTTTTGTTGGGGGCTCATACAACTCTTATCACAACCAATACATAAATACATTGTGTCAAGCACATTTGTACACTTGCTGGCATCATCATTTTCAAAACATTCTTTTTTTAAAAAAATCATTTTATTAGGGGCTCAACATTTTCTTTCTCCTTGAGCCATTGGTCCTCATTTCTTTCCCTCCTTCCATCATCCTCCCTCCCTCATGAACCCTTGTTAATTTATGAATTACTATTATTTCAAGTCATACACTGACCTTCACCCATTTTTCTGCTTCACCCATTTTTTTCTGCTGTCCTTCCCCCTGGGAGAGGGTTATAGGTAGATCATTATGTTTGGTTCCTCCTTTCTCCCCCCATCTTCCCCTTACCCTCATGGAATCGCTACTCTCAATATGGGTCCTGAGGGTTTTGTAGGTCCTGGATTCCCGGTGTTTCCAGCTCTTATCTGTACCCGAGGACATGCTCTGGTCTAGCCGGATTTATAAGGTAGAATTGGGTCATGATAGTGGCCGGGCGTTGAGGGGGTGGTGGGAAGCATTAAAGAACTAGAGGAAAGTTGTATATTTCTTTGGTGCTGTACTGCACCCTGATTGGCTCAATGTTTCCCTGTGACCCTTCTGTAAGGGGATGTCCAATTGTAAACAGATGGGCTTTGAGTTTCCACTCCACACTGCCCCTCATTCACAATGATATGATTTTTTTGTTCTGGGTCTTTGATTTCTCATACCTGATCCCATTGACACCCCATGATCACACAGGCTGGTGTGCTACTTCCATATGGATTTTGTTGCTGCTGAGCTATATAGCTGCTTGTTTACATTCAAGCCTTTAAAACCCAAGAGGCTAAATCTTTTTGATAGCCGGGCACCATCAGCTTTCTTCACCACATTTGCTTTTACACCACTTTTGTCTTCAGCAATTGTGTTGGCAAGGTTTTTTAATGAAGTCAATAAGGGACCACAAGTCAGGATAAACAATCAGTAAGGATACAGTCCTTGGTCTCCTCAGCCAGCACCCAAGTTTCTCTCTGATTCTCAGCTTCTCTGCCACATGATCCCATGGCATTCTCCTCCATGGGTCATGAAACCAGCCTGCCTGTCTGGCCCAAAGTTCCACAGTCTCTTGGCAGATGAAGAGAAGTTCCCTCACAAGGTCTGCACTGCTCCTTTGAGTTTCCTTATCACAGTCATTGATACATCTCTTCTCAGTGAACTCTGCCACTTGAGATCGTTTTTAAATCTTCCCTCCTAAGGTACTAATTGTTTTTTTTCTGTGTGGCTATCTTAAAGATGGTACATCTTACTGATCTGTGGGCAGTAACAAAAAGCTACCAATCCCCTCTCTTTGTGCTACACTTGCCCCACTTGTGTGATCCCATCCGATCATTTGGTATGAGTTACAGACATGGGTAGAAGTGTCATATTAAGAAATTTCACTCCAGAACAAGTGGATTCCTGCGGAGAGTGGATCCACTGGACTTGCTGATGGAGTTCATATCCCTGGGTAGGGACAAAGAGGAACCAAGAGTGTCGGCAAAAATCTCAGTCTGAGCAGCTGTGTAAGGCTGATATCTGAGCTAGTGGAGGGCCTCGATTGGTGTGAGGCCAGGAAGCTGAGAGTTCTGTTTGGGTTATCTTGGTGGTGAGGTCTGTTGGAAAACTAAAGGTAGGTTTGCATGTTGGGATATAACAGTCTCACGCGCCTTGAGTAGCCATTGTTTGCGGAAAACTTATATTACCACAGCTGAATAATTCAACGGGATGACATATAATGACTCCACAAATGAGCAGGCCGAGGGTCCAGATTCTGGAAGGCATATGGAGATTTAAAGTCAGCTTTCTTGAAATATAAATTATGTTCAATATAATACATATATTTTGGTGTAGAGTTCCCTGGGATTGGAAAGATGAATTCCCCATACAGACATCACAATCTTGCTAGAGCACGTTGATATGAAGGCTCTTATGATCCCTATTTCCTCCAGTAGGTTGTTGTGGCATCATAGATGAATACATGCATACACACATGAGAGCTAGAGAATGATACAAGGTCGTAAAGTTTAAGCTTCAATGATGTGCACAATTCAGGAAGACAGGCAATGTTCAAGGCTATGCATCAGGTAATACCTGTCTCAAATGCAAATAGAGATGGGATTAGGGGTTCACCATCAACACACAAGGTCAACTTAGACATCAGTCAAGCACACCACAAAGTTTTCTTGTCCCAATATATCCCAGCAATCATGCCCACTTAGACGTAGAACATTTGGGATTGTTTGGAGTAAGAATATAAAAATGCACGTGCAGAATCCAAGAGAGAAAACTCCCAGGTATACGGGATGTCACCCCTCCTCTAACATATGCACATAGTCAAAGCTGGCCTACGATTTATATGCAGCAACCAGTGATATGTAGCTGGTGAACAAAAGTCTAAATCTTTTTCTCCTATACAATAGAGAAATGCATTTTATTGAATTAATAACAGTCCTGAAGTAGAGTGGTCTTAAGGGTTACTTGCTCCTGAGATTCAAATGTGTCAAATACCAAGTATCTTTCCACTGCTCTACGCTCTTTCTCACAGTTTTGTCTTCTTCTGAAAGCAAGTGTCCTCATTGAAGGTCTGCCAGGAACAAAGGTGCCTATTTGTTTAATCATTTAAGCTCATGCTTGAAGAGCAAAGCACTTTTATACAAGGAGACCCTAGCAAATGTCTCATATCTCATTGGCCTGAGTTTAAGACATAAGATGGTTGATTGGTTTAGATGAGATCAATTGAGAGCCTATCCTAACAGCTATAAATGAAGGTAGATTCACTCGTGCAAATGAGGGAAAAGAGTTTGTACTAATGGAAATCGCAACCCTATATCACAGAGGAGAGCAGATTTTCTTGTGCACACAAGCTTGCAGACATTAATCACATATGGCTTGCAGACAATAACCAGATGTAGATTTACCACTATGGGAGCCAAAACCACAATACACAAACTCTCCTTCTCCCACATGTTATACTCTCCAGTTAATATAAATCGATGCACCTATTCAGGAGCTACTGGTATGATATTAGTGAATTAATAAATTACTAGAATTCTCACCCAAGCTGGAAGTTTGGGTGGCTGGGGAGGACATGTTTGTGATTTTAGTGAAAATCTAAAGGTAGAGTTTGGACTTATTCTTAGTGTAGACTAAGTTTAAAATGGCTTACTGATGAATTACAAATAATCATATACATAATGTTTCAGTGAAGTTTCTCCATAGGTGACTAGAGAAATGAAAAACTAAATTTCTAAATTTTGTGTATTGTCTATATTAGTTGTATTGGAGATTTTGAAATAAGGGTTAGTACCGAACTGTTCCACACAAAGAAAACTAGCAGGCTACATTTTCATTTTGGAATCTAGTTGTGATTAACTCTCCCCTTTCTGGTTTTATAGAGCACGGGGCATACTTTACAAAAATTTGCTTAGATTTTTATTTCAAAAGATTATTTTGACAATTACAAATCTTTGGCTTCGTATTCCCTCCAGGAGACAACTACCACTTGTCTATCAGTCTGTGCTACTTTGGTGCCTTGTGCATTGCTCTGATGCTGGAAACTATGTCACTGGTATTTCAGTTGCCAGCCTGGTCACTCCAAGTGAGCAGGTTTCAGCAGAGCTTCCATCCTAAGAACAGACATCGAAGAAGGACTCGGTTCCCGGTCTGGAGGTCAAAGCCACAGAAAGTCAGACACAGAGCATCAAAACATTGGCAGATAATGAAGGCCGAATGAACGGAAGCCAAATATTGTTGGAGAGAGTGCCGGAAGGCGGTTCTTGGGACGGATGACACTAGACGGATATAGCTGAAGACGAGCTGCTTTCCCACAGTGGAGTCAACAAAGATGATAGGAGTGGGGTAAAGCCTGTGCGAGGGGAGCCCTCAGGATCTTTCTTTGCTGATGAGGCATGACTCAAATCAAGAAGAAGCCGCTGCAAAAATCTAACAGTCAGAACTTGGAATGTGTGAAGTATGAATCTAAAAAAAATGGAAGTCTTCAAAAATGAAATGGAACACACAAAGACTGATATTCTAGGCATTAGTGAGGTGGCCGTTTTGAATCAGAAAATCATACGATTTGCTACACCACCAATAACAACCAAAAGGAATGGCTTGGCATTCATTGTCAAAAAGAACATTGCAAGAGCAATGAAATACAATGTTGTCTGTAAGAAGATAAAATCTATCCACGTTCAAGGAAATCCGATCAAGAAAACTATTATTCAACGTTATGCGCCAACCACAACAGCTAGTGGGCAATAAAATTAACCCTTCTAACATCTTCAGTTGAAAATTGATGAAATATGCAACCAAGATGTATTGACAGTTGCTGGAGATTGGAACTCAAAAGTTGGAAGCTAAAAGAAAGGAACAGTAGTTGGAAAATATGAACTAGGCAATACAAATGAAGCAGGATATTGCATAATAGAATTTTGCAAAACATATTCATAGCAGATAACTTTTTCAATAACAGAACAGGTGGTTATTCACATGGACTTCTCCAGATGGAATACACAGAATTTAAATGGACTATGTCTGTGGGAGAGGTGATGGAGAAGCTCAATGGCAGCAGCTAAAACCAGGCCAGGAGCTTACTGGAACAGACCATCAATTGCTCCTATGTAAGTTCAGGGTAAAGGTAAAGAAAATTACAAATGCCGGGGAGACAAAATATGACCTTGTGTCTATCCCACCTGAATTTCAAAAACATCTCAGGAACATGTTTACTGAAT